CTGAGAATAATGAGGATTGCAACCCAACAGCACTTGTGGCACTGAGGTTGGGAAAGGTTAACTGGCATGTTAATGTCAGATATACTAACAAGCCTTGGATCTAAATTCAAATCCCATTATCCTGACCAAACAGAACACACTGCAGCCTTGCAGATGCCATCGTATCCCAACTCCCATCAGCTCTAGTCATGATGCCTAATGATGAGCAATGCAGAAGTTGTAGTCCAGCATTTAGAGGGACACATTAACTGACACAATGTCTGGATTTGGCCCGAAAGCCTTGAGTTTGACACACGTGGTATACAGATTAAACACACACACTTAGGCGATCCCTCGTTGGACGAGTAAGATGGTCTTCCATTATGGGTTTCCTTGTGGGTCCGTATGTGGCTGTGGAGCCCTATTCTTGCTCTGCATCTTCTTCCGCAGTGTGGGCATTGGTTTCCAGGTGGAAGGCGGTCCCGGTCGGGGTTGGCTTGACGCGCCTTCCTCCTGGCACGTTTCTCTCTTTCACCCTCCACTCGTGCCTCCTCAAATTCTGCAGCACTGCTGGTCACAGCTGACCTCCAGCTGGAGCGCTCAAGGGCCAGGGCTTCCCAGTTCTCAGTGTCTATGCCAGAGTTTTTAAGGTTGGCTTTGAGCCCATCTTTAAATCTCTTTTCTTGTCCACCAACGTTCCGTTTTCCGTTCTTAAGTTCGGAGTAGAGCAACTGCTTTGGGAGACGGTGGTCAGGCATCCGGACAACGTGGCCGGCCCAGCGGAGTTGATGTTGGAGGACCATCGCTTCAATGCTGGTGGTCTTTGCTTCTGCCAGCACACTGACGTTTGTCCGCTTGTCTTCCCACACACACACACACACACACCTAACCATTAAACCATGCAAAGTGGCCGCTTTCAAGACAACTGTCCTTCTCTTCCTAGAGCAGAATGAACAGACATATAGCCATGGCTCATTCTGATGTTCTTTTACCTTTTTCACTTGTGGTTCACAGCTCCCTTATGGGCACAGTTGGTCCTTGCTTCTGTCCCAAAATTTGCAATCACCTTGCCATACGTAGATCAGAGGTGAGTGCAAACATAGGAAGGAAGAACACAATTAGGGAGAACTTCCTAATTGTGAGAGCTGTTCAGCAGTGGAACTCTCTGCCCCATACTGTGGCAGACATTCCTTCTTTGGAGGGTTTTAAATGGAGGCTGGATGGCCATCTGTTGGGGATGCTTTGAATGTGATTTTCCTGCTTCTTGATGGGGGGGGGGGGTTGAACTGGATGGCTCACAAGTTCTCTTCCAACTCTATGATTCTATAAGCCAGTTCTGTTCCAGGGAAGGGGCTTGAACAAATAAATCTCTTTTAACTGTTTATATAAAAAAACTGCTTTTGTATGCTGCAAGTGAGACTATGCCACCACTTACTGCATAGTGCAATTGAACTTTTCATGCCTATTAAGGCAGCAGTTCAAAGCATATTTATTAGGGTTGCTAAAACCCACTGGAGTTCATGGGATTTACTTCTGTGTAAACATATTTAGGACTGGCCCCACAGGAATCTTGTTTGCAAGACTCCATAATACTTAAGGATTTGCTATTGGTGGAAATAAGTTCACATGTTTGTGAAACTTTTGAGGTCTGAAATCTGCCAGAAAAGGTCAGGTTTTTAAAAATGCATTTTGCAACTGCACAAATAGGAGTGCAGCTACACTGTAGAATTATTGCAGTTTGACACCACTTTAACTGCCACAGCTTAATGTTTTGGAATCCTAGGAGTTATAGTTTGGCGAGGCATCAGTGCTACCTGGCATTGAAGGCTAAAGGTCTTGTAAAACTAAACCTCCCAGGATTCCACAGCATTAAGCCATAGAAATCCAAGTAGCATGAAACTGCATTAATTCTACAGTGTAGATGCACCCTTGGAGTTTAAAATATTTTTGTCATGGACCACAAAGGAAACAGAAGCCTGGATTTTAGAAATCTGTGATGGGGTATGTATGCCTGGGGTTTCTTTTTCCCCAGTGAAGCTCTTTTATTTATATTATTCTTTTTGTCAGGAAGAGAGAAGACTGGTGCAAAAAAAAAAAAAAGGCATGGGAGATGTTTGCAAGATTAATTTCTGCAAGGCCAGCATTCTTAAAACTAAATTACAAAAAAAGAGGAAACTTACCCAGAGGTCAGGAAAACACCCAAGTCTGTATCCTTTGCTTTCACAAACCGACAATGGTTGCAAAACACTTTTTTTTTTTTGCGGAAGAATACCAGTCCTGTCAGGGGAAATTCTCCACTCTGAACCTGAAGGTGAGGTGGAGTTTTCTAAATCCAGGGTTACAACCCTGCCTTGTATAGACATCTTGTGAGACCTGGTCCACTTATTCATGAGAGGCAGATAACCATGGTTGTGCCTTCAGGTTGCCTTTCAAATTCTGGTGACCCCATGTTGGGTGAATTTATGCAAAAAATCAGCAGCGTGCATGTGTAGTGCGAGATTAATGCAGCTTGACACCATGTTGACTGATGTGATTCATTGCTATGGAAATCTGGAAGTTGTAGTTTTACAAAGTCTGGTAAAGAGTAGTGGCATCTCTCCAAACAGATTCCCAGGATTCTGTATCCTTGAGCCATGGCAGTTAAAAATGGTGTCAAGTACTTCAATTTGATAGTATGTGTTACTTCTTATGGTGATCACATGAATTTCATAGAGTTTGCTTGGCTTGGAATACTCAGAGGTGGTTTTCCATTTCCTTCCTTGGAAATACAGCTTAGAACACCTAGTTGGTGGTCTCCCATCCAATTACTAACCAGGGCTGACCCTGCTTAGATTCACAAGATCAGACATGCTCTGTTGCCTTTCAGGTGTTTGCAATAGCAGTCTCAAAAGCTAAAGCCTTCATACTTGGGGAGGGAGGGGTGATAAACCAAGGGCTAGTTTTAGGAAGACTTCTCTAACTTTATCTCCTCCCTTCCTCCTTCTAACCCAGGAAGGGATGCACCTGAGGCTGCCAACCTGCCTCTTCACCACATCTAGGAAAGGGAAGTCTTTCTTGGGGTGCATTTACATTATACAAGTAATGCAGTTTGACACCACTCGAACTATCGTGGCTCAAAGCTATAGAATCATGGAGGTTGTATTTTTACAAAGTCTTCAGCCCTTTCTATCCAAGAGTGTTGGTGCCTCCCCAAACTACCAACTCCAGGATCCCATAGCCTTGTGCCATGGCAGTGCAAGTGGTATCAAACTGCTTATAATGGTTACAGTGCAGATTTGCAGGAGGAGATACAATCTGCTCTGCTTTGCCTTTCTCCAACAAACATTTCCTTCCAGCCAACAAGCCCACCCTTAAAGAGCTGGGTCTCTTTATGCCGCAGCAGAGGTTGAGGAGAGACATGAGAGCCATGTTTAGATACTGGAAAGGATGTCATAAGGAAGAGGGAGCAGGTTTGCTTTTTGCTGCCCTGGAGACCAAGGGTCATTCCACATAGCCATATAATGCAGAATATCAAGGCAGACAATCCATAGTATCTGCTTTGAACTGGATTATCTGAGTCCACACTGCCATATAATCCAGTTCAATATGGATTTTCTACAGTTGTGTGGAAGGGGCCTTAAACTTGGAGCCATGGGTTCAAATTACAGGAAAGGAGATTCCACTTGAACATGACGAAGAACTTCCTGACCATGAAAACTGTTCAACAGTGGAACTCTTTGCCTTGGAGTGTGATGAAGGCTCTTTCCTTGGAAGCAGGGGTAGGATGGCCTTCTGCAAGCAGTTCAAGACTTGTGGGTTTCAATGGTTTCTCTGTGTAGTCTGACATGGTGTTTTTTTAGAGTAGTCCAGCATTTCTGTGTTCTCTAATAAGAAAATGTGTCAATGCTATCTCAGTGCTGATTATATATATACACACACACACACAGAGAGAGAGACACACATGAAGATATAGGCAGTCCCTGAGTTACAAATATCTGATGTTCAAATGACGCATAATTAAGAACGGGCTGAGACAACAGAAAGTGAGAGAAATTTCCTAGGAAGGGAAATTCACTCCTGAAAGAGTTATTATCAGTTATTATAATGGGGGAAACGGGTCTCCACTGAAGCTTTCTCACTAATCCAAGCCACAATTTTCAAAATCCAATTCTCACAGGGACAGAAAGTAAGTTGCAATCTTCTGAACAGGGGCACAGATAGCAAAACAAACTCTGCAGGAGGGTTCAGCCTTCCCTATGCTGTTCAAAGCTAAGCAATATATATATGTTTGGCTATTGTTAATTTAAAAAATGTACCTGTTCTGACTTATATACACATTCAGCTTAAGAACAATCTCCCAGAACCTATCTTGCTCTTAACTTTGGGATTGCCTGTGTTTATATATCCATTCCAACCCCCTGACATGAAGGAATGAAAATATAATATTTTATAGGTTTATGAAAATATAATGGGTAGGTCTATGAGAGAGAGAGAGAGAGAGAGAGAGAGAGAGAGAGAATTTTTTATTCCTGCATGGTAGGGTGTGTGTATGTGTATAATGAGTGGGTTTATAAAAGTATAGTTTCTACACACACACACACAGAGAAACTATACTTTCATAAACTTACCCTTTATATTTTCATTCCTGCACGGCAGGGGGGTTCTATATATATATGAAAAAAATATATATAGAATCATGGAAACAGGCAGTAGGTGGGTAGGTTTATGAAAATATAGTATAGTGTGCGTGTGGAGATTATATATATATATATATATATATATATATATATATATATATATATCTCACACACACACACTATATTTTCATAAACCTACTGACCTACTGCCTGTTTCCAGGTTTCTGAATATACATTGTCAACGTCATATATTATAATACACACACACTCTACATTGCCATAAACCTATATCCACCTACAGCCTGTTTCCATGCCCTCCTTTCCTGCCTGGCCGAGGGCTGGGCTGGCCTGCCCCTGTCCCTCTTCCCGGCTCTGAACCCCAGAAGAAGATACCCGTTCCCACGCTCCGCTTGGAAGGCAGGCAGGGAGAGGGGCGGAAGGCTTGGGAGGGCGCGTGGCAAACTTCTCTCTGGCGGCGGGGCTGACCGGCAGGGGGCGGCGGCGAGGCCGGCGAGACTTCTGGCCAATCAGGGGGCCGCGAAGGCTGGCAGCGAGGCGCCTCAACGTTCTGCCTGAGCGCAGCCTCGGCGGGAGTCGGGCAGTGGAAGGCGGAAAGGGGAGCCGTGCGTCGGAGCGCCTCTCTCTCAGGGTCCGCGCGCGCGACTCCCAAGAGGAGAAGGCAGAACGTTGAGGCGCGCGCGCTGCCATTGGCAAAGGAGGGCGCGCGGGCGGGGGAAGGCGCCTCCTCCTCCTCCTTTGCTCCCTCCCTCCCTGCATCGCGGCGGCTCTACATAAGCGCCCGTCGGCGGCGGCGGGAGGCGTGCGGCGTGGAGGAGCGGCGCGGCTCGGCTCGGGGGCCATGGCCTTGGCGGACAGCGCCCGCGGGCTGCCCAACGGCGGCGGAGGCGGCGGGCGGTCGCAGCCGGAGCCGTCGGTGGTTCCGGCATCCACGGTGGCGTCGTCGGCAGGGAGCGAGGCGCCTGGGGAGATCGTGGAGCTGAACGTGGGCGGGCAGGTGTACGTGACCCGTCGGGGGACGGTGCTGTCGGTGCGGGGCTCGCTGCTCTGGCGCCTCTTCTCGCAGGAGCCCGGCGCGGCGCTGGCCCGCGACTCCAAGGGCCGCGTCTTCCTCGACCGCGACGGCTTCCTCTTCCGCTACGTGCTGGACTACCTCCGCGACCAGGAGCTGGTGCTGCCCGAGCGCTTCCCCGAGCGCAGCCGACTCCAGCGGGAGGCCGAGTACTTCCAGCTGCCGGACCTGGTCCGCCGCCTCCAGCGAGGAGGAGGAGGCGGAGGAGGAGGCGGCGGCGGAGGAGGGGGCCTTCCGCGCGACGCCTCCCTCTGCGCCGACGAGGGGGGCTCCTGGGAGGCTGAGGGCGAAGGCGGCCCCTCGTCCCCGGCCCGCCGCAGCCCGCTCCTGGCGCCCTCGCTCTCGCTGGACGCCGCCGCCGCCTCCTCCTCCTCGTCGTCGGCCTCGCCCTCGTCGCGCCGCGCGGGCTACATCACGGTGGGCTACCGGGGCTCGTACACGCTGGGCCGCGAGGCGCAGGCCGACGCCAAGTTCCGCCGCGTGGCGCGCATCACGGTCTGCGGCAAGACGGCCCTGGCCAAGGAGGTCTTCGGAGAGACGCTCAACGAGAGCCGCGACCCGGACCGGCCCCCCGAGCGCTACACCGCCCGCTACTACCTCAAGTTCAACTTCCTCGAGCAGGCCTTCGACCGGCTCAGCGAGGCCGGCTTCCGCATGGCCGCCTGCTCCTCCACTGGCACCTGCGCCTTCGGGCCTGAGCAGGGCGGACCCGCCGACGACCGCGTCTGGACCAGCTACACCGAGTACGTCTTCTGCCGAGAGTGAGCCCCCAGGAGACCCAGGAGAAGGAGTCACCCCAGCCATCCCCTCAACGCCTTCGGGGGAGGCAGCCCTACACCCCCAGCCAGGCTTCTCCAGCTCTACACATCCATTCACACACATACGCGCCTTAGTTCTGTCCCCTCATTGCTGTCACTCCGGGACATGGAAGGAGCAGAGGCTGGAACAGGGAGAGAGAGACTCTCCTTTTCTGTCCAGAAAGGGCATAGGAGGGTTTCACTGCCCTGTAACCCCTGTATCTCTTTCCTCTCCCTCATCACAGTCCAGCATCTATTTCAAAGTCTCTTGACTGCCTCCTGCAGAATTGTGGGATTTGTAATTTAGGGAAGGGCTCATCCAGAGAAGCCCTGGGCCTCCCAAGAATTCTGCAGGAGGCGGTCACAACATTTCAAGTGGATCAAAGAGGAAAATGCTCAAGTATGATTTTTTTTTTCATGCCAGGAGCAACTTGAAAAACTGAAATTTGTGACTGGTGTGAAAGAATTGCAGGGGACACCTAGATGATTGGTGTTTTACCATCCTGTGGGAGGCTTCTCTCATGTCCCCGTATGGGAAGCTGGAGCTGAGACAGGAGCTCACCCAGCTCCTGTTAGCAGTTCAGCCAGCACAAGGGTTTGACCCTTTGCACCACTAGGGACTCCCTCAAGTGTGATGAGGCCCACTCATTGGGACCCTGAGTTTGGTGCGGCCCCATGACTCGATCCTTAAACACTTCCCCGAACTCTTCATCCCTGGATTCAAATTCTCTAGCACCTCACCAAACTCTTACCTTCCAGGGCTCCATCAGAACTGCTTTTGCAGTGCCAGCACTCCAGAAACCTATAGTTCAAAAGGGACATCCTAAGGAATGGAGCCCGCCCTCACCTCTATGCTGTAGTGTTAATGCAGTTTGGCACCACCTTAGTTGCCATGGATTGGAGCCTTGTGTTTGTAGTTTAGTGAGGAAGCAGCACTCTTTTGCAGAGAAGGCTGGAGGCCTCATAAAGCGACAGCTGTTACAATTCCATTGCATTGGGCCATGTGGCATCAAGCTGCACTAACTCAACAGTGGAGGTGCCGTGACTCTTCCGTGCTTCACGGTTTTATCAGCTTTGGTACTTTAGGCTGGATCTATACTGCTATATTCCAGAATGCAGATTCACTGTCATAAGATGGATGATATGAGTCTACACGGCCATCTCCAGTTCAGTGCAGTTCGTCTCCATTCAAAAACTGCATTATCTGGCAATGTAGATCCAGCCCTAGTTGCTCTGGCTGTATGTTTTGAACTCGGGTGCAGAGTTTGAGGAGGAAATTCTAAATACCTCACAAAACTATGGATCCAATCCCTAGGATCCCCAGGACAATCCTTGTACCCTGAGCTGTATAGTTTTGTGAAGTATTTACTATTCTTTACTACTTTACTAAACTCTTTGTTCCAGGATCCCTTAAGGATGTAGCTCCTGCAGTTCAAGTGGGTTAAAAAGGATATCTTGAGGAATAGGGCCCGCCCTCACCACCCACAAAACTGGTCAGTCGTATACTCTCTTCCCCTTTTGCCTATGCAAGAGTGTCTTTCCTTCTACCATTTCCACACTCTTGGCCTTCCCTAGCTGTGTGCGGTGGCCCATCTGCTTTCCCCTGGTATCCAGAGAATGCCTTCTGTACCTGGGCTCCTTACTGAAAGGGACACTCCGTTCTCTCTCACCACCACCACGGGGAATGAGTCCCCTGTTCAAAGAGGGTGGATTTCTATCCAGGAAGATATATATTTCCTTTGATTGTCCAAGCATTCGTTCTCAGCCTTTGGTCCTTTGGATACTTAGCACTTCAGCTCCCAGAATCTGTCGTCTTTGGCCTAGCTGGCAGAAGCTTCTGGGAATGGAAGTATGAAACAGTTGGAGGATGAGAGATTGAGACCCCTTGCCTACAGCTGCTTCTTTGTATTCTGGGCAGCCTTGCCCAATATCCTCTCAGACCCCCCCCCCCCCCCCCCCCCCCCCCCCCCATCCCCCTTCTCCCTGATACAGTGCCTCCAATGTCTACCGAGCTGAGACTTCCAGAGATGAAAGTGTTTTCCCTTCCATATTTACAGTGGTCTCACATTAGCTTCATAAAATGCCCCCTTAAACATCTTGAGGACTGTTTGCGCTGTCCTGAGGATTTTAGTGGTGGTATCCAGCAAGGATGACAAATGTGTGGCCTTCCAGGTGTTTTTGAATGACAACTCCAATTGTCCCTCACCCTTCACTATATTGTCTTAGGCAAATAGGAGTTGTAGGCACAATCAAAACAATAATCTGAAAGATGACAGTTTTCTACCAATTGTGTGAAAATTTGGGTGGAGTTGACTTAAAAATGTTTTACTTTGCCATAAAGCCCTGGTCAGGGATGATGGGAGTTGTCACCCAGTACCATCTGCAGAGCCATTTGTTATTCCCTCTTGCTGTAAATGGGCTCTCCATTGACCCTGCTTCCACCATTCTCATTTTTCTGCACACCACTGGGAAATCTGTTTTGTGAGTTGTCCTCCCCTTATTCCCCCCAAAACCATATTTCTTCAGAGGAGACTTAAGCATCTTGGCATTCACAGCCATATTGGTTTGGGGAGAGATACTTCTTTCTGGTATCGCCTAAGCTTGATCCTAAATTTGAATGGGATTGGCAAAATGGGGCATTTGTTTTATAATAAGGTCATTTTGTCACTATGTTATCCATTCCGTCACACACATGGTTTGGAAAATATTATATTATGTTTTAAGGGGAACCATGTTTATCATTTTGCTCTCCCTTTCCACTACCCATTTCCGAAAGCCTCCCTTTCTTTCAACTCTTGTAAACTTCATAAACGCAGATGGGGTGGCTCAAGAAGGCTGGTGTCAAAGGACAGCCATCAGAGCAATGCTTTTGGTACTTTTAAAGCCACTTGGAACACTTGGACCCTTCTTACTGGAGCAGAACGCTTTCAAATGGCCAAGTAGCAATATTTGGAAACGAAGAGTGCTTGTGAACTGAGTTCTCATGGAATATGACAAGAAAGAAGAGTCCTTGATGAAAATACCCATATTACTGATACTTATGTGTGTTTATAATATATATATCTATATTTTTTAAAAAATCAATTGCACATTGTTTATTCTGAAACTAGATTTGCCAGGTTTCCGCAACGTGGAGGTAAGGTGTTTGCTTCCTTGAACAGTATTCCTGTATTATTTGTGTAAACAGCTTGTCTGTCTTTAAAGGGGACTGGGGTGTGTGTATATTCTTGACCCTTTTTCAAACTTACGTTGCCCTGTTGTTGCTATCAATAACACTTCTGCAGTGGAGTGCCCCTTGCATCTGTGAAGAATTTGGAGAAGTTGCAACTCCCAGAATCCCAGAGAGCCTGGCTGGGGAATTCTGGGAGTAGTAGGTACTATGTGGTGGTTCCTTGTTTAGAACTTGGCTCATGGAAGTATAGAAAGTGCTCCTACTTCACAAGCTATAGAAAATCTTATGCCCCCTTTGGTAGGGCAACTTGTGGGCCTGACTCCCCTTCTACTGAAGACATCCTCTTTACACAAATAAGGCATGAATTGGCCAGCGGAGATCTCGGATTATGAGTACAATCACAGATGGAGAGGTGCCATTAATGTTGCCTGCAACTGTTTTAATGTTTTCTGGTTTGATGTCCTCAAGGCTAATGCTTGTTTGAAGACTCCGTTGCTGCCAGTTCCCCTTTCCCTCTTGGGTTTTTAAAAAAGTGATGGTCATCAATTTTGTTAGCTATGCTACGCTGCTAAATAAGAAGTCCAGACTTTCTGAGTGGAGGTTTGGTTTTCTCTCTAAAAGTGCAAAAGCGGATTTAGATCTGTTATAGCAGGAGTTCCTGTTTACTATGGGGAGGGTTTCTTTTGAAATAGCGGACAGCCTTGAACTCTCATGTATTTTGGAATTTTGGCCAATGCCTTCTCTCTGGGAAGATACCACAGCACAGAAGCACAAAGCATTATTTCCCCCTCCGGGTAAAGGGACTGACATTTAATTTTCCCCATTGAGCAGTTGGAGAGCTCAACACAACACATTGTTCCTCCTGACTAAAAAAGGATTGTCTGTTGCAAGCTCCGTAGGGTTCATTTTCACACAATCCAGTCATTCAATTATTTTTCAAATGATGTATATTGAAACATGACATTTTATGTACTCAAACATAATTTCTTAGAAGCCATGTCTGGATGTTGAGCTTCAGAGTTATAGGTGTTTGTATTCTAACCAAAGATTTTTTTTATTGCGTTATTAATTTTAATCACACACATACTGCCAAGCTATTTCTTCAAAAGATGGGAGTTTTGGTTTTTGAGTAGAATAAGTCAGCATTTGCCTGTTTAGATTAGTGACAACACATGAGGGTTTATATATAATGGTAAACTCTGACTTGGCACAACAATTTGGCACTAGCTATGTGGGCAAAAAATGAAAGTGAATGCAGCCTCAGGTTTATGAGCTTCCCTCTTCTCCTCCATGGTGACATAAAGGAGGTATAAACCAGGATTTGTTTTCATTTTGTTTGATTCCTGGCTTGTTGTTAGGTGTTTTAAAACAACCAGGTTAATTGCTAAACAAGCCAAGTGCAGCTTTGGATTGTTTAGATGGATTTTTAAAATAAACCAGTGCATGTTAAATCATGCACTTTATTGGTTCACATATGAATGACAAGTTAGGAATTTGGCAAAATGAAACTGAATTGTGGTTTATTTCTTCTCCAGGCCCTGCAGAAGAAAGTGGGGGAGTGTCAAGACCAGTGGTTTGTGTTGGCCCCATTCTCTTCATGCATTTAGCCCTGATCTACAGGTTTAGCACATGCCGCTGAACTGCAGCTCTCATCAGCATTAGCCACCAGCATGGTCAGTGTTGAGAAATACCTTTGCCTATGCTGGTTTAGCATCACATGTGAATACAACAACAACGAGACAGTTCCCCTTCTTAACCGAATGTGTGTCTGCTGCTTAGATTGTTAATCTTACATTCTCCTGAAGCTATATAGCAATCAATTTCATGGAAGTCTTGAAATGCCACGCTTCTCAAGAAGAGCATCAAATATTTTTGCTCTAAGGGAGATAATTTTGAAGAGACACATTATTTTCCCCAAAAGAAGCAGGAGATGCAGAGTGTGAGAGAAAGAAGAGAGTGTGAGCAAGAATGCATTCAAATAAGGACAAGCAATAAGGTAGCATTGGAAAGCTGGAATTCCAGGAGAAAAATTGTACCCAGGTTGTCCTATGCCTTACTCTATAATAATTCCATTTGTGCATATTTTAGCTATACTGCAAGTCTCTTGATTGCAATTCAATATTTAAGATGTCTTTCCTTACAGTCATATAGTCTTTTTCTAGTTTTTGTTGAGTGACTCTCTCTGAAGTATGTTTTCTAAAATTTTGTATACAAACCAGTTTCCAGTA